CAGCACTAGCAGTTATAGCACTGGGTCTGGCTGGCCTTCAAAACCTCTGAGACCCTTTCCTGGCCGCAGAAGTATGTTCTAGTGTGAGTTAGTTCTATAGAATTTGATAGGAACACAAATACAAGGAAAATAAAACCAAATCAAAACCACAAAGCAAAGCCCAATCTGGCTAGAAAGCCAAAGATAAAACCCTCACAAATTCTGGACCTGCGAGTCTGCGTTTTAAAGATTTTACAAGTATACAGTATCTAATTAGCATTATATCAGATATACAACATGCCCATTTATTATAATTATGCTGGATATATAATTTATATGCATGAAATGTAACTGTCTTCATGGTTAGGATTGGTACTCAGTGGAATTGGAATTTGGAAGGTTTTCTTGAGGGGCCATTACATGGAGAGAAAATTATGGAAAATTACTGACCTGCTTTTCAGTAGACAGACACCCTCAGCTTTGCTGTGCTTCTGCTAAGGGCTACGAAAAGATTTGCTACGTATGGGGTTCTAGGTTGTAACTGAGAGGAGAAAATATGTTCAGAAACAGAGGAACTGGGACCGGTGGAAAATGCTATCAGGAAAATAACTTCTGGGGAGAAATCCAGGCTCGGTGAAATGTGTGGTAGCCCTGCCTTGCAGGGGTCTCGGTGGAGTCAGGACTTCCCCCAGCACAGGTCAGCAGTGTGAAGCTGAGCGAATTCCGGCGCTTCTGGTGCAGCAGTGGCAAGAAGCTGGAGGAAGAGAAACCCTATACCTCTTTCCTATTTACATGTTGGAGACACCAAGATACTAGAATGAGTGGAGAAAAGGGTCTAACAAGCATTTCAGCATATTTGTGCTTATTGAACACATCAACCCCACTACTTCCTACACTGAGAGAGCAGGCGATTTGTAGGCACTAGTATATTTTTATCTTATGAGTATATTTAATATAAACTAAAACTTTATTTCTCAGCCAGGCTGTTCTTGTCCCTAGATCTGCCAGTCCCCTAGGAAAGTCTGCCCTTGAATTCTCTCCAAGGGTGAGGAAGAACAGATGTATGGATGCTGGCTGATATATCGAGTGGTCTGGAGGTGATCCCCAGCAGCCAGAAGCTTACTTACTTGCTACAGGAAGGCCAAACATGAGGGCTGGCATGAAGACTGAGAACAGGGCCCCTTCCTGCCAGGATGGGGTGCTGCGTTTCCTCCTCCCTGTCTTGGACTGCATGAGACTGCTTCTACTTGTAGCGGCAGCAAAGTTCTAAATTCATAAAAACAATGAGATAATGCAGGGTGAGCCCTTGGAAGAAGCCATCTACTGCTATGGCTTTCTTTGACAGAAACTGATGCACGTCAGGAAGTTTCCTCTATTATCCCTCACTGTCGTCTGTTTGCTTGCTTGGGTTCTTCTTATGTCACTGATGAAGGGGTGGCTTTAAAAACAACAACGTGGATGGGACTGTCAGAGAAGTCTTTTCAGACACTGAGTTATTAGAGGTTATCTTGGCCTATAAGGCCACTGCAGTATGGGGTGCTGTGGCCACCCCAGTCCTTAATAAGTATCTACAATGCACGAGGTCATATCAAACAGTCACCTCTGTTTTGCTCGCTGTGCGGTAGTGATGGTGGTGTCCTGGAATATAATGCAATTGTTCTACCGTGTTGTGCCGTCGGGAGGCGAACGCTTGGCGCTTGGCGGAGGTTGGGTTCATACCTAAGGTATTGTACAAGTTATTTGAGGCACTAGGATGGGAGTGCATTTTTGTCATCCTGTAGCGATCCAAGACAGGTGTTGATACAAAGACATCTGTGTGTGACAATGCCCGTGACATAGACTGCTCGGGGTACCCTGACCGCTCCGGGGAGAGCAGGGGGTCCTGGGAGTGGAGGCGCTCTGCGGACAGAAGCTGCTCGTCTGAGAGGATCCGTTCATAGGACATGCTAAACTCTTCGGGCATGATCCTCTCAGGAGACAGCACTCTGTCCTGGGACATGGCCCTGATGGGACGGCGAGGCCTGTCCCTGTGGTTGGTCTGTTGAGACATTTTGATGACGTTGATAGGGAGCGTGCCCCGGGCTGCCAGGTCGGGCAGGTGTCTCCTCCTCATGTAGTATTCATCAGCCTCTTTGTCAGCTGTGGGAAAGGAAAGGGAACAGTTAGAAATGTCAGAGCATTGTCCCGTGGGGTGAAAAGGGGCCGTGTACAGCACACAGCCTTGGAGCAGCGTCCTGGTGAGACCCAAGGGACAATCTACCAGCAGCTGGACCTGGGCATGGACATGCACATCAGGGTGCTGCCTATCAGAGAGATGCCAGCCCTGTGTGGGTTGTGTCACCATGGGCTTACGGCAGGCAGAGAGAGTTATAATCGCATGCAGACAGGTATAAGTCCCTGTGCGATGCATCACACCTCGCACCATGACACAACAGACTCCATATGCTGCCGAGTCCAGACTGTGGTATCGCATGATTCACATGAATGGCGAGTTATGGAGAAGTTATCAAATGTCACCTTCACAATACACTTACAAAGAAAGCACAGAGAAGGTGAGCTGAAGCAGGCGAGTTCCCCATTTGAGGAAACACATACCTTGTTTCTGGCCTCAGGTGTGTATGTGCTCTGGAATCCATGAGTGCCCTCATCACATTTTTAATTACTATTTTTGAATATTTGTAAGTGTGATCACAAAGCAGGTTTGGTGGGCATGGGATGCTCTCTTTGAGATATTGAATCATCTGCCTAAGGTTTCATTTTCCATTTTTTCAGACATCTTGGCTGCTATCATAGAATTTACCCCATGGAACATTTCTTTCTCAGTTTGCTGCTTCTGTGTGTTAAAAGTTGCACAGGAACTCAGCACACGCACACATACATGTACGACCTTCTTCTTTTCGACTTTCAAATGCCTCAGGCTCAGAGAGGATGTTGACTGCTGCAGATTGTACCCTAATATATCACTTGAATCCCACAGTGGCTGGAATGATCTAGTTCAACTAACTTGTAGTTTGAAGAAGCAACTCCACAATTACATCAAATTTATAAAAAAACCAAACAACAGAAACACAAAAACTTTTTGGTAAACCCCTTCGATGTTCATATGCCTTAAATTGGGGTACTGGGATTACGTACCTGGAAGGAGGATTAGCAGTCCTTGGGCTTCAAGCCCAGTGCAGCCTGTGAACTGTCATGATGTACCTGTGACTACAGAGGTGTAAAGCACGGAACATCAGTTCCTTACTGGAAGAATACTGTTGTAAGTGGAAGAGCACAGTGCTGGTCTCTGTGGGTCCGGGGATGGAGGCATGTTTAATGTTCAACACTGATCATCTGTATGAGCCTTCCTCCTCATTTCTTTGCCTGAGATATTTTCTTGATGTGTCCAAAAGCATCTCCCATCCTTTCTGGCTCATCAGTGACTTCAGAAGACCTCAGAATGAGACTCATAGGAGATGCCTGGCAGGCCCCTATCCTCTCCTTGCAGAAGACAGCACAACACCCACTGGTGTGCAGGAAGGGGATTCCCCATGCAAAGGTAAAGTAAATTTCTTCTCCTTACAGAGCAAAGAAGATCTTTTGCAAATTAACCTTATGGGAGCAGCCTGGCTTAGAGACTACAGAGCTGGGAACACACACACATGACCCAATAAGTTCTTCCCCTACCAGTCGTGAGCCAAGTGTTAATACACAAAGACATCATCTCTTATATGAAACACTACAGGCTTGGGGAAGAGTGGCTGGAGAGCTGCCCAGCAGAAAAGGACCTGGGGGTGTTGGTCCACAGCCAGCTGAATGTGAGCCAGCAGTGTGCCCAGATGGCCAAGAAGGCCAACAGCATCCTGGCCTGTATCAGAAATAGTGTGGCCAGCAGGACTAGGGAAGTAATCTCTCCGATAACTTGGTACTGGTGAAGCTGCACCTTGAATATTGTGTTCAGTTTTGGGCCCCTCACTACAAGAAAGACATAGAGGTGCTGGAGCGTGTCCAGAGAAGAGCATCGAAACTGGTGAAGGGTCTAGAGCACAAGTCTTATGCGGAGTGGCTGAGGGAACTGGGGCTGTTTAACCTGAAGAAAAGGAGGCTGAGGGGAGACCTTATCGCTCCCCACAACTACCTGAAAGGAGGTTGTGGTGAGGTGGGTGTTGATCTCTTCTCCCAAGTAACAAGGAACAGGACGAAATGAAACGTCCTCAAGTTGCACCAGGGGAGGTATAGATTGGATATTAGGAAAAATTTCTTCACCAAAAGGATTTCAAATATTGAGACAGGCTGCTCAGGGAAGTGGTTGAGTTGCCATCCCTGGAGGTATTTAAAAGACTCTGGATGTGGTGCTAAGGGACATGGTTTAGTGGTGGACTTGGTAGTGTTAGGTTAATAGTTGGACTCGATGATCTTAAAGGTCTTTTCCAACCTAAATGGTCCTATGATTCTGTATGTCTTGGCCAGATTCTGAGACCTATCATGAAATTCCTTTGGAAACTCTTTTGCTTTTAAGACAAATGTGATAAAGATATATGATAATGGTAACAAAGACAAATCCCGTTGATTTTCTCAGCTCCAGTATCTCATTCAGTAGTAGGTGATGTAAGAAGTATCAGATGGTGGAAGAGGAAAATTTTACATGCATAGAGTTTCTGAGGATGTCTGAGTGATAAAAAGAACAAAGCTTTGCTGCAGGACAGTCTGGGCAATCATGAGGCAGGTGAGGTAGACGGTCCCATTTCTGATGCTGAGAGTCTCTATAGGCATTCAACAGACCTCGCAGTTAAATATGATGTGGAAATTTCCTGTTTCCTCTGACATAGCCATAAATCTGTAGGTTTTATGCACCACATTGTCTCAGAAATGAAGACAATTGGTCAGCTGTCCCATGAGGCAGAGTGCTTTTGGAGGAAATGTCAATGCCTTATGATATGTTATTGGTGCTGACACCATCACAGAAGTTCACAAGACAACATTTACACACTGGTGCCTTAATGTCTGCAGCCAAACCCTGGAGTGCCATAAGCATCCTGTGCCTGATGATCTCACTCACTAATTTCCTCATCTCCTCTCCCACACAATCAGAACTCTCTCCAATGTGCTTGGGACCCTGCTCCTCATGGTCCTGCAAACAGACCACGTAACCCGGAGGGTCTGTGAGGATGATGGTTCATCCCCCTGTCTCAGCATCCAAAAGAACAAGCTGAGAACACGTGTGATGAAATTAATGGCCTGTTGGTACTGCTGTTGCGGTCAACCACTTCTTTGTAGCCTACACACCAACAAGGCGTGAGGATTGCTCAGAGCTCTCCTCTACTGGCATGCTTGCTGCTGATGGGATTTGATCTCGAGTATACATTGTAGGAATGAATCTTTTTTTTCAATCAAAACCTTCTTGGAAGAGTATCTCATCGCAAATGTCAGACAGCAGTTCCCCTGGCTTCAAACTCTTGTGTCTTTAAAATCACCTTTTAGGAAGCCTGAGAATGACTGGGGAAATTCCATATGGCCAGAGTCCATTCACACCTCTCAAGTGTGATGGCTGGCAAGACGGGGACTGGAGGAGCAAAGTCCCTCCCACTGTAAGAGAAGATCAGGTTCGAGACCACCTGAGGAAACCAAGCATACACAAGTACATGGGACCTGAGAGGTTGCATCCCAGAGTCCTGAGACAATTGGCTGATGTAGTTGCCAACCACTCTCCATGATACTTGAAAAGTCCTGGCAGTCAGGCGAAGTCCTCGAAGACTGGAAAAAGGGAAACACTGCACCCATCTTTAAAAAGGGAAGCAAGGAGGACCCAGGGAACTACTGACCCGTCAGCCTCACCTCTGTGTCTGGGAAGATCATGGGACAGGTCATCTTAGAAGCTGTACTAAGGCACACGGAGGACAGGGAGGTGATTTGAGGCAGCCAGCATGGCTTCATGAAGTGCAAGTCCTGTCTGGCCAACATAGTGGCCTTCTATGATGGAGGGACCACATCAGTGGACAAGGGACAAGTGGACAAGTCTATCTGGAATTCTGTAAGGCCTTTGACATGGTCCCACACAACATCCTTCTCTCTAAATTGGAGAGAGATGGATTTGATAGGTGGACTGTTGGGTGGATGAGCAATTACAGGATCACAGAATCACAGAATGGTAACTGTTGGAAGGTGCCTCTGAAGATCATCTGGTCCAACCCGCCTGCCAAAGCAGGATCACCTAGGGCAGGGTGCACAGGAACGTGTCCGGTCGGGTTTGGAAGGTCTCCCAAGAAGGAGACTCCACAACCTCTCTGGGGAGCCTGTTCCAGTGCTTCGTCACCCGCACAGTAAAGAAGTTTTTCCTCATGTTGTGGTGGAACTTCCTGTGTTGCAGTTTATGTCCATTGCCCCTCGTCCTTTCACTGGACACTACTGAAAAGAGACTGGCTCCACCCCCCTGACAGCCATCCTTCAGATATTTATAGACATTTATAAGGTCCCCCTCAGCCTTCTCTTCTCCAAACTAAACAGCCCCAGGTGTCTCAGCCTTTCCTCATGTGAGAGACGTTCCAGTCCCTTAACCATCCTCGTAGCCCTCCGTTGGATTCTCTCCAGAAGTTCCCTGTCTCTCTTGATCTGGGGAGATCAGAACTGGACACAATACTGCAGATGAGGCCTCACCAGCGCAGAGTAG